AAAACCAGTGGAAATTTCAGCCCCACAAAATGAAGAAATTTCCATTATAATAAATACCTACTCGCAAAAAAGAACTCATTCAGAGATCAAACCACCGATACTAAATCCTGAAGAACTGGAGCCTCCCTTTGTTATTCCCAGTTCACAGACTAAGAAGAAAACGAAGACAATACACACCAAATCTGTTGAGCCCCTGGTTGCCCCAGCCAAACAACTTCTTGAAGATGAGCTATCTAAATATCCTTTCGACTACATCCAAATTGTGAGTTTTCTGGAGGATTCGTTTGGTTCACCAGACCCCCTCAGCGTGGCCCCCAGGTATATGGAGGAAATTCACATGCTTCTAGGTATACTCACTAAAATATATCCGGCTCTTAGTGAACGTAAGAATCACAAAATTGAAAAAGACAATAATAAAACAGCTCAAAAGAGAACTCGAAACTGGGTCTAACATCTCAGCGTCCGGAAGCGAAAGTGACATATCTCTAGATACATTTTAGGATCTTCCAATACCATAAAAACTACTCAATATCATTCATATTGCAGTGAAATATAAACGGGGTATTTTCCCATCTGGAAATGCTCCAAGAGTTAATAAGTGAGGAGGAACCCCCAGTTATATGTCTTTAGAAAATCAACTTCACTGAAAAATATAGATACAATTTGAAACACTATAACTCCGTCCACAAAACTAGAAACAATCAACTCCGAGCCGCAGGAGGAGTAACAATATATACCAAAAAATCTCTTAAGGCAGAAGTTCCACTTTCAACTGACTTCGAAGCTGTAGCTGTTTTATTGGAAATCCCACAAAGAATGTGCATATGTAACATCTACATTCCACCAGATACAGAATTCAATAGCAATAATTTGTACAATCTCACTCAACAATTACCAAAGCCTTACGTTATCTTGAGAGATTTCAACACCAATAATACAACATGGGGCTGTACATCAACTAATCGGAGAGGCAGCAAACTTGAGACGTTCATCAACGCATCCAATTTTGTACTTCTGAACAAAATTGAAATAACCAGATTTAATATCGCTATAGGCAAACACTCCGATCTCGATTTGGCATTTTGTCACCCCAACCTTTCCTGCAAATTATCTTGGACTGTTTTATCGAACCCGTACGGTAGCGATCATTTTTCTAGTATCTTTAGAGCTGATGAATATTTGGAGTGTTTTGCCCAACACCAAATCGTTACTTTCAACACCTCGACACGTGTTTCGATCACCAAGTGATCATCTTCAAGAGGAAGATCAAACTAGAAAAACTTACCTAGGCCTATACCTATACCATACAGGTATACCACGCATACAGGTATACCACACCTTTGGTATCCTAAATTTATTTTACATTTGAGTACCGGCACTCAGTGCAATTCTTTTCCTCATAGCCATGAATGACATTTCAAATGGTAATCTATATGCTGATGATTTATTTATATATGCAATAGGAAATAATGTGAACATAATACGTACCCAATTACAGAATGAACTAAGAAAACTTCAATTGTGGTCGGAACGGACAGGACTTATGTTCTAGACTACCAAAACAAAATGTGTTATATTTTCGAAAAAACGGCTCATGGTTTACCTTCTCTTGAATTGAATAATCAGCAACTGGAATTTGTAGACGAAATCAAATTCCTGGGTGTCACTTTTGATAGCAAACTGAAATGGGACACTCACATCAAAAATATTAAGAAGGCCTGCCAAAATGGCCTAAATCTAATGGAAGTATTAGCCAATCCCACATGGGGAGTCGATACCTTGCTACAGGTTTATCGAGCATTAATCAGAACCAAACTGGATTACGGATCCATCGCTTACTCTACGGCGAGACCATCTCTTTTGAAGTCCCTATATGTCATCCAGAATGCAGCCATAAGAATTGCTACTGGGCGTTCTGTACCAGTCCTGTGGAAAGTTTACTTGTTGAGGCGGGAGAACCACCTCTCGCCTCTCCCAGAAATTTCCTACTTATGTGTATTAAACTAGAACTGAGAAAACTAACTAAAATGAAAAAACATATCAAAATTGTTTGGGTTCCTTCGCACATAGGAATAGTTGGCAACGAAAGTGCGGACACACTAGCTAGAGAGATTAGCTCAAACCCACACAGTCTATCAATTCGCCGTGTAATGAAGATTTGATCCATAAAATGCGACAATTAACAATGAATACATGGAGAGAAAGGTGGCAAGCTCTGGAGAAAAACAAGCTCAAAACAATCAATCGTAGCTTAAACTTCCAAAGTTACCTATCACTCTCTCGAAAACATCAGAAAATTCTCACCCGTCTCAGGATTGGCCTCACAAGGTATAGCCACCAGCATCTACTGAAGAAAGAAAACCCCAAAAGATGTATTTTCTGTGATGAAGAATTAGATGTGAAACATATCATCAAGGTATGTCCCAATTACAGTGATGCCTTGAATCCAGATAAATTTGAGATTTTATTAAAGTATCTGATATCTATAAATATTGTACATCTAATATGATTGTAATGTGATTTAAATTGTAGGTACTACAGTGCTAATAACTTTATTGAAAAAAGGGATGGCGACTAATCATTGTGCATTGCGGAGGAAGTAAAGGACGGCTTCCGTATTCTTTGAAATTATGTGGAAAAAACTTGAGGACTGCAATGTTGACTATCATGATAACATGGAAGCTAATATTTTTGAGAAATGGTTTGAAAACACATTGATACCAAATTTGGATGCAAATAGTGTAATAGTTCTTGACAACGCTCCTATCATTTGCGGCAGCTCATCAAAGTACCGAATAAAAATTCGAGGAAAGATGAAATACAAAGTTTTTTAATTAATATCGATTTGTATTTTGAAGATAACTATATCAAAAACCAACTATTTGAAGTTTTACAGACAAAAACATTTGAAAAAGTGTATGCCCTTGGGAGTATTGCAGAAATGTATGGACACACCATACTGAGACTTCCCCCCTATTTTTGTGTTTTCAATCTCATCGAGTTGATTTTGGGAAAATTGAAACAAAGCATCAGGCGTAAAAATAATTTTCCAAAATTTGATAAGAGAGTAATAGAGCTAGATAAAGAAGAAGTACCTAATATTACCGAAGAAGACTGGCAGAAAAGGATTAAAAAAGTAATTTTTGTTGAGAAAGACTATATGGAGATTGGACACTTCCATATTAATGGTGGAAATAAATTCATCATTGATTTAAATGACGACAGTGATAGTAAAACAGAGAATATGGAAGTGGAATCATCGGGAGCTTTGGAAGAAAGTTAGTGAAGTGTTTTTGAAGCGATCGATTGTATATATATGTGAGTAGTATTCAGAATTTTTCCCAATTATAACCTTGTTATTTGAATCTCTACTAGCGCTGGTTGTTTATCTCGGCCGGATGGTATGACACTTCTTAATTAGAAAAATGGTACATCTGTTGTTTGGAACTTCACTTGTGTAGATACATCAGCAACTTGCCATCTTCCTACTACTTGTGCGAAAGCCGTTGCTGCTGCCTCTTTAGGAGAAATTTCTAAACTACGGAAATATCAGAATTTGGAAAATAATTATATATTTCGCCCAATAGCTGTTGAAACTTTTGGTGTTTTCGGTTCTGAAGCCTTATCTTTCATCAATGGAATTGGAAGAAAGGTAAACGATGAAACCCACGTTTTCTTTTAGAAGGTTTACATGAAGACGTTAAAATAATTGATGAGAAACCTAAACCAATTTTAACGAAGATTGACGAAAAATTGGGCGACAGCGAAAATGCACAAGAGTCATGGCTCACATATTTGAGGATGCATAACTCTAAAATTGTAGATAATTTCGTTGGTCAATTGAAATCCACGATGGAATGCACACACTGTGGACACTCACCAGTAACCTTTGATCCTTTCTGGGAGTTGTCTCTCTCCATACCACAAAGAACCGACCAATTGAGTTTGTGGCAATGCTTGGATTCGTTTACAAAAGAGAAAACCTTGGATGGAAATGAAAAACTGATGTGTTCGAAATGCAAGGAAAGGAGAAAATGCACAAAGTCCCTATCAGTCCACAAGTTTCCCCATATTTTAGTAATATATTAATAGAGATTCTCTCCAACGGAAAGATTTAGAGGCAAATTGAATGCTGTCATCGAATTCAGATATGAACAATTGTGCAGCAGAAAATGTGGCTACTTTTTGTTATAATCTATATGCACTTTTAAATCACAGTGGGACTACTCACAAAGGGCATTATGCTGCATACTGCAGACACCCATATACTGGTGCGTGGCACAAATACAACGATTCACACGTGTCACCAATTTCACCAAAATCACTTGTGAGTGGAGAAGCCTACGTACTCTTCAATGAAAAGGATGGAACAAAATCGCACCTTTGAGATAACTGAGGGAAAGTTTCTTTGGGCGATTATTATTTATTTTTTGTTAAGTGCTTACATGTACCTGTTTCGTCAATATTCAGCTGATTGATGAAGTGTTGAATGAAGAATTGGAATGCATATTAAATGACATATCACAGATCACCCTGTTGACGACAAGTGATGCAACACTATTGCTTTTCTTATTAAAAATTACTGAAAATCATTACTTTTCACGTGAATTTTATCCACTTTGATATTATACCTCGATCAAAAGTTGAGAGAAGGAGACAATTTACATTCATACTGTCAGACATGAACGACACAATTCAGCATTTCATTGATCTACGGTTTGACGTAATACATTTCGAACTACATTTTTCAGGAACTCTATTTGGATACCGCTGTTGTTTAGATAAAATTAACTTTTCAAAAGTGTTTTTCCATTTGAATGAAGTAATCGGCAATTGAAATGCAATATAGATCAAAGAATTCGGACGGGCATCGATCTCAAGATTTTGGGTAGTTTTTGCAGTGATTGTGAATCCTCATAAAAAACTCAGTGTTCAACCAAATCCAAGAGTAGTTAAAATTTTAGAGGCTGGTAATATTGCCAAATGAAGGTGATAGTTACCCTCCTTCAAAATTTCTTGACAGTTCTTCGGGATTTTTTTTGATTGTTCATAGTCGCAAGGTAGTTGACAAATTTTAGGTTTGTCGATCCCCACCAAAATTTCACATAGCGGACCATTCTGACACGCCAAACTTGGAGATGCACAGGATCTGAAACAAATTCTCGATTCGTATCTTGAATTCAATGAAAGAATATGAATGATAATTCAAAAATTTTCACACTATGAAGGAGTTCCACAACACAGTTGCTTCTTCAGTTGAACTGATACGTTAAAACATTTTTCACAATACATTTTATACGAATTACAAAGTTAACTAATTAGTATTAATTCTAGGTTGTCATTTAGATTTTAGGAAAAAGTAATTAGGTATGATAGAGATTATTTCTTGGTGAGCAGGTTGATTTTAGAAACAGTAAGTGGTTAATTGCGATTGATTCTAGTAAATTTTTATGAAAATAAATTCAATAACATCAAATTGTTTTTTTTTACTTCAAAACTTCTTTCGTGTTCTCCAAAATTATTGTTAAGAAATTTCAAGACGTCCTTTCTATAAGGTCTTTCATAAAGTGTGTGAGCTATCATCGACATTTTTTATCCATTTCAATGACCTATTGATGCCATTAGGTGTGGAATATAACATCGTTCAAATGTCAGCCACGACTTCTATGGATGGAGCGCATTCAAAACGTCAAAATTTTCATAACTAGCACATAAATCAGCCTGAATTTGACCGATGGCATGGATTATGTTGGCTTTGAGGACAACTGTAGTTTGTGGCTTATTCGCATACACCTGCGACCTGAGAAAACCCCACAAGAAAAAGTCTAACGCGGCTAAATCGCACGATCTCGGTGGCCAGTTCACATCACCTCCACGTGAGATGACCATGCCCTCAAATCGCTCATGTAGAATGATCAATGTGGCATGAGCTGTGTGGCACGTAGCGCCGTCCTGTTGAAACCACATGTCTTTGGTATCAAGATCATCTAATTCAGGCCAAAAGAAGTTGGTGATCATCGACCTATAGTGCTCGCCATTGACAGGGATGACCCAAAGAAATATGGACCGATGATGCCGCTAGCCCAAAATCCACACCAACAGTGACTTTTTCGGTATTTGTTGATTTGCTGTCATTCATATATTCACCCAAGGCGTTACCACTTTTAAATATGTTGATGTTGTGTTGAGTTAGTGGCCTTTTCATTACTTCTGATGATTTTTTTAGTATAGTGTTCTACAAGTGTTACATCATTTTATGGTTGAGGTATGAATGATTAATTCATTTTGAATATTATAGAAAACTAGTTGTTGCCCGCGGCTTCGTCCACGTAGAATTTGGTAGTTGAAGTACTGATTAGTACTATGTTGCTGTATCGCTGCTGTTCCAATGTTTTGACAGAATCAGAATCAACGAACTTAGGCGTGCGCAGCGTTATAGAACAGTGCTTTCAAAAAATTGCTCTACAGCGCCATCTAGTGGCGAGTTAGAGAAAAATTGATAGCCTAAAAACNCATTTCATGTTGATGATTTTTAATTTTCATTTCTTGTTGATAGTTCAATTTTAAGTTGTTGCTTGTATTTCATTTTAATGTAATTTCAGTTTTTTTGCCGATATAATTGTTATTGTTCATGAATGTTACTTGGATAACTACAAGAAAGTGTTTTTCTAGTAGCCAGATAATTCTGACAGGTCTAACATCTGCCTAGACAAACTTTGAGGGTAGATGTGAGGCGATATTAATCTAAGCGTATGGGAGTGAGATAGTGATTTTTGTCTTTTGTCATCTGTTTTCCGCATCTTTTGTTTACTCAGTGTATGTCTTCGAACTAGAACTAATTAAAAACACAGACTAGAATCGCCGATTGAAATAGCTTGACAAATTGATTTATTTCTTTTCTATCCTCATGACAACAACAACAACAACAATTTCTGTTAAATATATATGTAATATCGAAAACTCTTACAATATGTTTTACTATTTATTGTGCGATATATGGAGTACATGTAATCTAGTAACAAAGTGAGTATGTGGACTGTAAATATAGAAAATGTTATAAATCATTCATGAGACTATTGAAAAACTATTTTTTACTGAATTCGTAATTTCTCAAAGTGGTAAGTATACCTAGAGATAATAGAACCATCAGATTCATAGCCTCTATTTGAATAATGTTCCACAACTTGTCAACCAACTCTGATTCCTCAATTGAATGAATAAAATTCATCAACTTCTCATGAGAATATCGAAATTTCGAACTTGAAGAAGTGAGTACCGACTAATAGTGATTAGTTTGTCTAGACATGTATTACAACTGACGAAAGTATCTTGTTTTTGGAGAAACATATCGTAAACATCTGGTTATACGTAGGTACAGTAATAATTCATTAATATTTTTCAGATTTTTATTATTACTCCGAAGAAATTATACTTTGAGCATTTTAGGGCTACATGTAACCTGTCAATGCAAATAATATTCAAACTGCACATTATAGGACAGGATTATGGGTAGGCTGCACCCTCCGATTTTAAAGAGTTTGGGTGTTCTTATGTGCTTTTCCTCATTTCCATGGTTACAGCCCCCCAAAGTGATGATTTACAAAAAATGGAGTGAATTCAAAATTTAGGTCCCTGATGAAAGGTTGACCCTGGATGAGAAGTTTTTGAGTTGACAACATTTATACCAGAAATGAAATAACAATATGAATTACTCACAATCTGTTTTCTAATCTTTCAGTTTCATTCGGTTCCAATTCTTCCCGGAAGGAATCCTTACCATTTCTTGCGCAGAATTTAGGACACAATAATTCTTCGAGTTCCGCTGTAGAATATAATGAATGGATCAGTCAGTGGTTGATATTATGGAGAATGCAAACTAAATGAAACGAGGATTTATATACGATAGAGAAGGTCTCAAGTTTTTGTGTTCTTTGTATTTTGGTATGTCGAAATAATAACTCGTTTTAAAAACATATTCAAAGTGGTACTTGTGTCAAATAGTATATTGTGATACTAGTGTGGAAAAATAGGATATTTCATACGAGTTTGGCAAGATTATGAACCACAAGCCGTAGGAAAACACCAGAACAAAAAATGATGGTCTCACGACGCGCGTCCTAATGAGATCATTATGACTGAATTTTACTACTATGTTAGTGTTTTTATATCCTAGTGGCCTAACTACTACCTGTTAGTATAACCTAACTACACCGGTTAGTATTGAATAACTACTAACTGTTATTGATCCTATGCTGAACTACCTGTTTTTAATACCTCTAATTTGTTATGTATTTCCTCTATGTTAATAATCATCTCTAATATTTATTGGATTTTTATTTAGAAGTATTATGTATAAAAGGACTATTCGAAATAGGACCTTTGTCGCTATTAATAAAACTCATTTCGCACTTTTCGATTTCCAAGCTTTCGAAGGCATCCAGAAACATGTTGTCATGTACCGGTCTCAATAATTTTAAACATTTCCCACTTATTCTATGGTCGTTCACTATGGCATGTTGATCGACACTAGATATCTTCGATCTATGAAATCGAACATGCGAAACATGTTTTTGTAGCGAGCTAACATAGTCCATTTGGTTTGCACCAACATATTTCTTAGCACAATCCTCGCAGCTCATTTCGCAAATCCTAAACTTTGTCCAGCTTGTATTTCGGACTGCCCAGCACTTGTTGAAGTGTACGTGCAGTTTTGAAAGCCACTCTTATACTGAATTTTTGAATGTTCGAATCAACCTATTGGTGTATTTGGGTTCATATGGAAGCATTAAGAATTTTGAATCTTTCTCTTTTCAAAAAGTCAAAGTATTACGAAGGTACTATCTAAGCTTTTGTTTTCTAATTAATTTATCAATTATGTTTGATGTATACAGGTTGCTTTCAGCCACCTCCCTATCAACTTTTTTCTCAATCTCGTACCTTTCTACGCTCTTGGGAAATGTGAGCAGTCAATGAACCAGTAATTGTAGTCCCGCCATTTTTTGTTATGGGTAATGATGAGAGCTGTCAGAGATATACCTGAAAGTGCTCATATTCTTTGTATATACATCAAACTCTAAACTCTTATCGCGATATTTTTAATAACTAGTACATCCAAGAATGATAGTTCTTTGTTATTTTCAATTTCATACTTGCAGGTCTGTTGTTGAGGCAAGAAAAGAGTTGGATTACTTTCCAGGAACCTGGATCCGATACGTGGATGATGTATTTGCCATTTTCGATAAGCATATGCGTAAGGTAGAGGTATTTGTAATTTACCTCAACAACAGATTTGCAAGTACAAATTAATGTATGAAATTGAAAAAGAATTACCATTCTTGGATGTACTAGCTATTGAAAATATCGATAAGAATCCAGAGTTCGATGTATATAGAGGGAATACGAGCACTTTCAGGAATATCCCTGACAGCTCTTCTTGGCGGGACTACAATTTCTTGTCCATTGTTTGGGAGGTGACTGAAAGCAATGGGTATCCATCAAACATAGTGGATGAATCAATTAGAAAACAAAATTTAGGGAGAATCTTCGTAATGCCCCGACTTTTCCATATGAACCCAAATACGCCAATGGGTTGGTCCAAACATTAAAAAAATTGAATATAAGAGTGGCTTTCAAAATTGCACGTACACTTTAGCGAGTGTTGGGTAGTCCGAAAGATAAGACGTTGAAAACAGAAAAGTCTGGGTTCAACGAAATAAGCTACGAGGATTGTGATGAAAAATATCTTGGTCAAACCAAACGGGCTATATTAGTTCTCTAGAGGAAACACATTCCATACGTTCGGTTTCATAGACCGGAAAAATCTAGTGTCGCTAATAATGCCACAGAAAACGACCACCGAATAAGTGAGAAATTGTTTGGACCGGTACATGACAACAGCTTTCTGGATACCTTCGAAAGCTTGTAAATCGAAAAGTGCGGAATGAGTTCTATGAATAGCGACAAAGGTCCTATTTCGAACAGCCTTTTGTTTGGTCACATATGTTATAATTCTAAATGAAAAACCGATGAATATTAGAGACGATTACTAACATAGAGGAAATACATAAAAAATTAGAGGTATTAATAACAGGTAGTAGTTATATAATACTAACCGGTGTAGTTAGGTAATACTAACAGGTAATAGTTAGGCCGCTAGGATATAAAAACATTAAAATTGTAGTAAAATTTAGTCATAATGATCTCCTGAGGACGCTAACTTGGTTAGCGAAACGCGCTTCGAGAGACCGTAATTTTTGTTCCGGTGATGTTTGAGTGTTTTCAATAGATTCATTTCGCGCCAGAGGTTCCAGTACGAACTATCAAGTTGTACACTATATTTTCCGCATGACTGTGTTATACCTACTTACAAATCATTTCTACATAAAACCAATTCAATTGCCTGAAAAAGCATATGAGAAAGATGTATTACACAAAGAGAACACATTTTATCGAACATTTAACGAAAATATTTGGGTATATTTTGGTCTGTATTTATGAAATATCATTAGAAAAATAATTATTGATGGTAATGTTTTAACAATTGTTCAGTACCAATGGAATACTATCATTTTCTTTCATCGAACTTTGAATGGCTTGATTGTAAGATTGTACCACAGAATAGTAAACAATTGTTTACTATTATATGTACCATAGAAAACTGAACAAAGTATGCGATTCACTACCTATTTACTCAGTAACTATAAGTAACTATCAGTAACTATGATTGACACTATAATGTTATGAATCCGTTTGTAGGTATGTCATTGTCAGAGGTACCTATGAGTAAAAATTAGATTATAGTTAGGTAATCGTACCAATCGCAGAGCGAGTACACCGTGTGCAATATTCATTTCGAGCGAGTGTGAAATGAAATATTTCGCACTAGTGCGAAATATTCAATTTTGTGTATCAGTTTACACTGCGTTTACAGAGTGTATTTCAACGTAGTGAAATCCGGAGATCTGGCAAGCCATGCCACTGTTTCAATACATGAATCAGAAAATATTCGATTTGAATTATCTATGACTATTTTGAATTGTATAGACCACATTCGTCTTGTTGAAATCATGGACTATTACGCCGATACCTTATAGGAAGATCATCCAACATTTCTTCTATAATGTCTACATATTTTGCTCCGGTTAGGTTGTCGTCAATAAAATAGGATTCTGATTCATTAATTAACAAACCGCACCATATGTTCAAAGAAAAACGATATGGAAGTCTAACTTCATGAATTTAGGGAGGATTTTCTGTGATTGTTCCTTCGAAAGGTGATGCCACAATTTATTGAATGTCATTTCGTCTCCCCGCATAATATTGTACGCAATATTGTTGTTATACCACACCTCCCGTTAAAATCAATTACAGAATTGCAACTTTCCATCAGAAGCATTACGCCTTAAAACCCTTTGAGGACAACTGGTCAGCTCAAGAAACCACATTTTCTAAATCATTCTTCTGAATGTCTGGCGGACAGACGGTGTAAAAAACCCTTTGAGGACAACTGGTCAGCTCAAGAAACCACATTTTCTAAATCATTCTTCTGAATGTCTGGCGGACAGGCGGTGTAACCGTACTGTATAATGTGTTGCCTATATCACTACTACTATTGCAAACATTTTAAATCCGCCTGAACATAGTATGTATTACCATTATTCACGAATTCTTCAAGTGCAAGGGTTGCTCACGAAGTTATAGTTTTTCAAATCAATTTTATGAGTAACGACCCAGAAGAATCCCTAATTATGAAAGGTCCAGAAGATGATGTGCATAGCTTTTTTGAAATAGAATCAATGCATATTCATATGCTGGATGACGAGCAATTCGAACAAGTTTGTCGGCATGATATAAACTGATGGATGGATCACAGAACATGAAATGCTTCTATCACAATTACAACTACAACTATGGAGACTGACCACAGAATGGACAAGCTATGCCACATTCTGTACAAAGCCCTCTCCATTCATACTGGAAACAGGACCAATCATTCCAGGAGACGTAGAGAGCCCAACTGATATATTCATTCATTTGTTTACAAATGTTTTGATTGAAAACGTTGTTTTTTAAAAAACTTCTATGCCTTACAGGAAAGCGGTGGCAATTCTAGAGCTTTTCTTGCGACAATATCGTCAGAATTAAAGATTTTCCTTGGATTGAATATTCTCATGCGACTAAAATCCATGCCCAACTATGGAGATCATTAGTCATCGATTTTTTTCAAATTAAGGATAGTTTCGTTCAATTACTATGAATTGGGTTTTCCTTCTTTCGAAACATGTAAATAATTATTATTTGTTTCTTGCTTTGATTCTGATACGTTTCATTCAGTTCAAGATGAGTGAGTGAATCGAAATGTATTGCATGTTGTTAATTTAATCAAAGGTAAAATGCAAATATATTAAGATGAGAATCAAAATCACTTGAAAATCAACTTTGAATGACGGTGTATGAGAAACAGGACCAATCATTCCAGGAGACGTAGAGAGCCCAACTGATATATTCATTCATTTGTTTACAAATGTTTTGATTGAAAACGTTGTTTTTCAAAAAAACTTCTATGCCTTACAGAAAAGCGGTGGCAATTCTAGAGCTTTTCTTGCGACAATATCGTCAGAAATAAAGATTTTCCTTGGATTGGATATTCTCATGGGACTAAAATCCATGCCCAACTATGGAGATCATTGGTCATCGAGAATTGAGCTGAGAGGCCCTTACATAATGGGGAGAGACCAGTTTGGATGGTTGCTTAGTAACTTACACATAAATGGTAATGCAACTCAGCCAACAAAGCAAGACGCGAAGTTTGATAAACTTTAC